TATTGATTATTCATCATGTTCGAAATCATTCAGTTTCGAAATTATTTAATCACATTTCATAAAAAATACTATTTTAAGTATTACATATATTTGTATTTCAAATAAAATTAATTATCTGTTACTTACTAAAATAATTGGTATATTTATCACAAAAGCGGGGACGGGCTGGACCACTGTGGTACTGTACTTAAGTACAGTTAGCCTTGGTTAGGAACTTCGTAAATGGTAACTAGCGTTACTTTAAAATTCGGATTTTGCTTAACTCCGTACCTTTCCTGTAGCCCAAGGTTTGAGACGCATGTTGACCTAAAATAGTGAGTTTAAGCGTAGAAGAATTTTTTCAAAAAAAAATTTTTCATCTTACAATATGTTTATTTATAAGACATTTTGCTCTGTATTTATTTATACATTTTTGGAAATTGGTATTGAAGAAAACTAATGAACACTGTTTATAATACACACTGAAAATTCAATTTTAATTTCGCTCCCCTCCAAAATGTTCTAAGGTTTATACTCGCTTTTCGATTCTCATCTCTTCATATGTATCGTTATACATAGAGACCGCCAATCACTATATTATTTACTATGAACAGCTATTAAAATTTAAATAAAAAAACCCATTGACCATTTCAATAGAATACTTGGTACACGCTCATACGCGATAACTAGATGTACCCATGGCTGTTGCCCGGTAGACCATAAAGACTATAATACAGAAGTTTAATTTGCAAAGAGATTGGGGGCATTGAAAATATTTTTACTACCGAAAGAATGTTTTTGACAGTGGTTTAAAGTTAATTATAGTTTGATACCAATCGATTGTGATGTTAATGAGGTTATATTGTTGTTATAGGGTGTCAGTGTCAGTATCCGGCACCCTTTACAATTCAGTATTGCCCCTTCCTGTTATAGCACTTTCACCGGCGCTATCATCATCATCTACACATCACCCCAACACATATTATTATTATTATTATTATTATTTAAGTACTATACTCCAAAGCCATTTTCAGCCTGTCACTTATATATTTTCAATACCGTTGATGATGCTTTACTATGCGTTTTTATTCTTAAATAAAAAATCAAAAATGTACAAAACATTTATTGTAGGTATATTATAAAAAAAATTAGCCCGTTGGTCGAGTTTTTTTCTATTTTTAATTTTACTACTATACTACAAAATTTAAAATCGTTAAAAACTAATTAAGCTTCAACAGTAAAAACGAAAACAAAATTATAACTGAATTGCAAATTTAAAGTATTTGGAGTCAGAATAATTATGACAAAATATACCAGTGTTGGTCATTATGCGAATAAAAATGTAAATTAAAAACTTGAGATATTGTTCAATTATTCATTACTTACAATGTACCTATGTCCTATTTCTAGTATAAAAATAACTATTAAAAGTCAAAAAGTAACTAACATATTTGATTTGCCTACTTATTAAATATATAATGTAAAATATTATAACAAAAAATAATTATTCTAGACCAATAAAATCATTATTTTACTTTTTAATAGTTATTAATATAATAATTGTCTTATTCGAATGAGGAATATAAATAAATACATTTATAGTTCAGCAAACAGTTTGATTGAATAAAAAAAATATTCGTTATTCATGAATAAATGATTGATTTATCCATTATTCAAAACGATTAATTATTTTCACCCGACATCAGAAAAACTCAATTTTAATGTTCTTGTAAGGAACCTGAGATGTCAAACTATACATTTGCGGTCTCATTTCATCGTACCCATTATAAAGGTGCAGCTTCTTTATGTACCGCTATGTACCATTATTTCTTTAATCGCCCACTGTAATTCTATCAAAAGTGTTATAATACAATATTTGCTAACTTGTAATTATTCCGTTAATTTATTCTTTGTTTTTATTAATTTTGTGTATCAAATTATGTAAATTATTGCTCTTGTAAATAGTTCTATAGGGCGTATATTATTTTAAATATGCATATATTTAGCATTTATTGCTAAATAGTAAATATTAAGAATAATTTAGAACAATATTAACGGTTGATTGAATAACACTGTTCGATGAACATTGTTCATTCATCTAGTGTCTAGGTGGATATTTTAATTAAAACTTGTCGATGGAACGTGGTCTAAAATGATTTAGGATAAATAACTGTACGGGGAACAAGTGATAAAAGCCTTAAGGCGGTTAAAGATTGCACGGATTTAGTTTCCTTTTGAATAGAACCCGGAATAACGTTACGCGACAAGCGCAAATCCTTAGCCTCGAGCGATAGGTACGTGAGAGGCTATGGAATAAAAATCCTGTTAGCTGTTTTTCTATTTTAAAAATTATTTTTTATTTTTTATTTATTGCGATTTCATTAATTTAATTGGTTCACTTACGCCTCGTAGTTTATCAACCCCCGTAGCCCGTGAAAATTATCTACCTACCTACCTACCTACGGCCAGTTTTACCTTCGATAATAATAATTGAAGGTGTTACCTACTCGTATTTATGCATTTATAGGCGTTTAAAACACAATGTCGTCCCCTCTCGAAACATCAAAGGCTATATGAAACAACGGTAAAATATATATTTATATACAATACCCTCGCGTTGGGTGGGATGTAGCAATTATTTTTGCGTTGTCGGCTCAAATCATAACGCACAAAGGAGATTGATCAGGCGAAATTTTCAACGGCCCGGAACGTGTCGACTGCGCCTCTGCCTCTGCCCGTATTACCGTCACCGTGTCCCGACCTGATCTCTTCCTTAATTGACGTACAAAAGCCAGAAGACCCTTTAACTTTTCGTCTTTGTCGTTATAATTATTATTGTTATTATTATTGCCGGCTGACGGAATACAATTTTAATAATACCCACCTACTCACGGCAAACGAGGCGTATTCGTTTATTATCTGTCAATAACATTATTTATCAACTTTATTATTATTATTTATTATGTTGCCGTTGCGCGCCTTTCATCTTTCGACAATACAACAACATACGGACACCTTGTAAACAGTAACAATTAGTATTTATGTAATTTTCCAGTTAGTAATAATGTTATAATTTTTTTTTTTCGCAGTCTTTTGTCTCTCCTTATTATTATTATTATATTTTTTTTTTATGCTTTTCGGGCGTTATTATTACGTAAACGTAACGTTACGAATTGTTTAATTAAAATACTATTCGTAAAATTAATGTAATACTATAATATAAATATAATACTATATATATAGAAAAATCTTGCTGTAAGGCGCTAAAGACACTTGGGTTCGTAAAGAGAGTTTCCACGGAATTTAACTTGTTAGCTCCGTTAAAATCTTTGTACTGTGCTCTTGTTCGATCTATTCTAGAGTATGCTGTAGTTATATGGGACCCTAATACCGTAATTGCTAAAAACCAGATAGAGAGGGTCCAACGGAAATTCTTGTATTTTGCTGCCAGGGTACTCCATATTGCTCACCGACCACACGACTAAGAGCCAGTATTAAATAAACCTGGGTTAGCAACACTAGCTGATGGGCGTATTTCTGCTAGTCAAGACTTTTTGAGAAAGCTTATGGATGGATCTATTGATTGTCCTGATTTATTAAGTGAACTCAACTTCAAAGTCCCTAACTTCCATTCTAGATCACCATATCCTTTCTTTGTACCGATTTGCACCACTAATTATTCATATAATAGACCTATTTTCAGGATAATGCGCATTGCAAATGAGAACATCTCCACCTTCACTTTTGTATAACTTGTTAGATTAAATAATTATATAATATGTATTTCTGTGTCTACAAAAATTGTACTTTGGGCCTCGGCCTGTTTTGTAATAAAAATAAATAATGTTGACAAAAGTTAATGTTCCATAAAAAAAAATTACACCTACCTACAAAGGTCGCGCATTGTTTATTACGGTTAATAATAACAATAGTAACGACTAACGGGTAATCCGTAATCATAATATTAACGGATTAATGTAATATCATTCGGCAGTAATCGACAGTGTAATACTGTTGTACGATTACAATAATCGTGTAATCGTGATGACAAATTAGTAATTATTATTTATGTACTTAATTTTCAACTAGCGATAGCTGTAACTATTATTGTGAATTACAGTATTTGCAGAATAAATACTGTAAAAGTTGTGATTGTACTAAACTCGTAAAATGTACAACTGTCTAGTATAATAATATAATCTGCGGATACTGGACTCTACTTTGATAATTTCTTACTGTGCTGGTTCGGGCTGTGCTTGGTTCAAACTGTGCTGGATTCTTACTATTTCCAGATTAGCATCAAAACCTTTGGCTGTGACAAAATAACATTCAGATTTAATAATTGCTTTGACCCAATTTTGCTAACTTCTTCTGTACTGATTTATACTGTACTTGGTTTGAACTGTGCTGAATTATTAATACTTATTTTGGACTGTCATTATTTATTAATTTTTTAATATTTGTATTATTTGCGTATAAGTTATTATATTATATACGGACCTTTTGTCCTACTTTTTATAAATTAGACCTTTTTTCCCCGGATTTTTTTTACCGTTTACCGGTCTATTATATGAACACACATATGAAAGTATATAAGTTCAAAAAAATCAGCACAATCTCAAGGGAGATTTGATAAATTGCGGTTGATGCTGAGCAATGACCAACAGAGAGTATATTTATAATAATATATATTTTAAAATAATTAATTTATGTATTGTCTATTTTTTCAATTTAACATTTTTATAATACAAGAAATGGAAACAATAATATTCAATCTCGATGTGTATGTACACATGACATTTACTATTTATCTATTAGCATTTAGCTATTTAGGAACATAAACTATGCGCATTCATTAGTCATGTCATGTGTTTGATTATAATGATCTCGGCGAACGCTATCGCCGTAGAATAATAATATTAAAGCCGTATTAAATAATTTCGGAATTAAAAAAAAAATGATTTTATTGTTTTCGTTGCAGGGCTTTCTTTGGGCTTTGATAAACACAATTAGGACAGGTATGTTTGACTGATTCACATTTTATTTGAAATCATATTAGGTATTGTATTTAAATCGAAACAGTACAAAATATGTAATAAATTCATCGTATAAAATAATAAAATGATAAAAAATAAAGAAACTTTAACGTTAATATAAATCATGGCAGATCGTTTATGTCGCTTAACCTAGATCGTCAGTAATGTTATGTAACAATATACAAGGGTACAAAAAAAAAAAAAAAACGATATAAAACGTGGTAACTAACTAAAGTGACTCTCTCGCTCTGACCCGAAGTCTGAGCATGTAATACGCCGCTACCCTTGTGACCACCAAACTTATGAGCAACGCTATAACGTCGTTGCCAAACTGGTCCACCGGCATGGCGACTTCGTACAAGAACTTAGCCGAATACTTGTAGTGACAGTAGAGGTCGTCGCACGGCAGAAGAGGACGGTCTTTGTAAATGGCGGCTACCAACGCTTCCAGGCCGTACCTCAGGAACGATATGTACGTGCCCCATTTTAGATAACACGGAATGTCCCGAAGGTTAACGCCGAAACCGCTGAACATCATCAACATGACGACGATAATCGGTCCAACAAAATTGCCGTTCTAACGGAAAAAAAAAATAATACAGTACAGTGGGGTCGGGCCATAGCGTGGAGACGGACCATATTGGGGACGAGTGAGATGGTAGATCTATATAAATTATTAAACAACCGAAAGTGATAAAATCGCTTTCGGATAAACGCTTCGATGCAAAATTGTAATGGTAGAATTACAAAATACATCGATAAAAACATTGTGCCCAATGACAATAATGTACTTAAAAATGTATTTTTGCTATTAGGTCGGATACGATTAGGGTTGATCGTCTAACTTTAAAAATATGTTGCCGTAGTTAACCATGTATGATCGTAATCGACAATATAATATAGTGAAAATATTTTCAAATACCTGTGACCGTTGATTCGCTCACACATAGCAACCTAAAAATGGACTATGATCAAAGTGTAATTTTCCCCGTTCGGGTTTTTTACTTAATAAAACAAAGTTTGTGTACAGATTTTTGAAAACATTGTGTATGTTATAAATCCATTCTAGATTAGACATTTGGTCTGATTTCCCGACCTTAAACCCTAAAACTTCACCTAAAAAAGCGAAATAAATAAAAATTGTCCACCATGTATAGAGGAAACTGATACTTTTTTAGTTTGTCAACGTTTATCGGTAGATAGTGCTACACAAAGAATATTCCTTATAAATTTGGAACTCAATCGACTATTTTCAAAAAAGCCATAGTGCGGCGTAATTTTAAGTGGAAAATTATATAAGTTTGTTTAGGGGTTTTTCTCAATTTTGAAAAGGTAGAGGTGAACTATTAAACTTTTGGTAATATTTAATTTTTTAGGTACAATTTCCTACCGTTAGAGTTTCTACACAAACATATTGGTTCAGCGATTTAAAAGATATCGTAGGTCCAAAAACAAAAAAAACAATTTAAAAAAAAACAAAACACATAATTGTAAAAAACACCTTCTCCGCCCCGCATCGAAGCAAAGAACGTTCATTAGGTTACAATTGTAATTCTTAAACTTATTTCATACCGGTGCCGAAGAAGGCCAAAAAAAAAAAATGTATAAAACTTACAATCACGTTAAACCAGATACCGATAATGAATCCCAAACTCTGAGCTATTAGCACCATGAGCCAGCTTATGAGTGTGAACATGCCGAATCGAGACCAATCCATCGGTTGACCGGTCATCAGATAAATGATTACCGAAAATATCAAGCATCCTATAGTCTTCAAAAAAAAATAATAATAGTAACAACATTTTTTAAACACCTCAAGTTATATTTTTACAACAAAATTACTTACCGAAATAGGAACGTCGAGAATATTCAAAGCGATATAGTACATTTTCAGTGAATACCATCTGTTGAAATGTTCCTTGGTCAGTATCGAAATTTCACTAGGAACTTAAAAAAATAAAAATGTTAAATTGGCGAAATATTTCATTGTAAACTAAAAAAAAAAAATTGGTTACTTACAATTAATAATATTTAACATCAATGTCGACCCGACATGGTGCATGAGAACAGAGAATAAAAGATTGTAGTTGTCAAATATTTTGTTGCCGTCGTCGCCGATTTGTAAAAACAGAGAGCCAAGTAACACACTAACCGCTATATTTACTCCTATTCGCAGGTAAGTCAAATCCTAAAAGCAATAAATTATGAATTATTGGTAATTGGTCGTTTGAAAACTATATTAATCAAGTATTAACTTTCGTCGGAGTGAATATAAAAATTAATAAACATTAAGAATATTATGCATAGGAAGGTTCGTAGAATGAATTATTAATATTAGTAAATAAAAAATCAAAGTGATTACAAAGTCTGTAAACAAATTATATTATGGTAAACAAGAAATGTTTACCTTACAACTAGGGAAGAGCGATAATACAATCTTATAAAATTATGTTAAAATTACCTTGGCTAGTAAAATTAGTATAATAATATTATTATTGATCGAATATTGATAATATTTGTATTAGTCAAAGTACCAAAGAAAAATAATTTTAAAAAAGTTTATCCTAACGATACATAATAATAATAAGCATTTATTTTAATTATTATACCAGTGTTAAACATATAAAACTATTTTCTCTGAAATAGTTAAATGCAAAATAAATTTCAATGTTAGTATTATAAAAATGACCGGCACACGAGTTTCTTTAATACGATGTAATATATAGTTTTAAACTCAATTATGTCTGAAATCACGGACCTGACTTTTAATTACTAATAATAATAGATAACAAAATTGTTAATTTTTGAGAAATTATTAAAAATAATTAATTGATAGTTTTATTAATGACAATAGAATAACAATTGATTGCTAAAGTTAATGTTTGGTGATTGACATTTTTTTTAATGACGACACAACGTTAATCAATTTACAATAAATCGATTATTCAATTATTATAAAACGTTTATTATTAGTACAATCGCCTATCATCTCTAACTGTATCAGTTCCTTAATAATAGATTAAAGTCCGGTAACAAAATATAAAATAATAATAATATGGCATAAATCAGATTTTTTCACTAGAAATTACCTACAGTGCACAATTCACACACAGAAATTCATTCCCGCTGTACAATAACGAAGGAATTTTTGTGTTGTATTTTTCAAACAACTATTTTGATATGGATCACTTCCCTGATCAACGCATCCATCCGAATTATGAAGGCCAGAGAAAAAAAGAAATTTTAGAAACCTCGTAAATGTTTCCCCAGCAAGGTATAACAATGTGTAAAACCACAAAATAAGAAATAGAACTATCTAAAAAACAATACACTATAAACTATATATATATAAACTATCTAATGTAGTTTGTAACACTTCAATTAACTTGACAACTAATTTAGGTACTTAAAATTTCAGCTAATTGTTAGTAAAGTGTTAGTAAACATGAATAAAAACCTTTTCATAATCTCACCGGATCTCTCGCACATTTTATAATTCCACGGTGCAACAAACATTTCAGTTGATTATATGATGAAGTTTCGTGGTAAACATGTTCTTTGTGTTTTTTCGGTTTCGCTCCAGTAGTAATTCTGTTTTGTGGAATTTCTAGTTACAAAAAAAAAAAATTTTAAATTGTTAATTACATTTTAAAACAGTTTTTGAGCTAGAATAATCAATAAATGAATTAGTTGTCATTTATCAGTATCATATAAAACACAGTCTAGTGGGAATGAATCAATATAGGATCGGGGCGGGCACAATTCCATAGGAATTATGAAGACTAAATTAATAATAGCCATTCTACAGACAATGTTAAACTACAATCCCCAGGAATTGCAATACTAAACATCAATGAAAAAACACTAGATCGCACTAGGTCGAGTTCTCAGACTTTATAAGTCCAAATCGCTACTATAGAAAGAAATAAAATAATATATTGTCATGCCTTTTAGATGAAAGGGTTCATGATATTTTTTCAGTATTTAACGTCAAACCGGTAATATTATACCTAAAGCATACTATAGAAAAATTCGGAACTATTTTGACCATGTTTCAATGTAATAAATAGTAATTATATATTTATCCCATTTTTCAACTTTAGCTGGAAAGGGAAGTGGGAAACGACGTTTCCGATTTTTGGTCTTCAATGAATTCCGTTTAGAAAATATCTTTGATGGCTGATTTCTGATCTGTAAACTGTACATACTAAGAAATCGGTTTAAAATTTCATTTTTTTATGTTAATAATACTTAGATTAGTATATCGGATTGATTAAGTAAATTATGATTGTAATAAGTAATTAGATTGATTTACATTTAATTTCTTTTTATTGTTATCTTTATGTATACTTAATCATTATGTATATTTTATGCACTATTTTCAGACTTGCTCTCTATTATTGAATAAAAAAACGTACCTATTTCTTCGTTAACGGGCACATTGGCCACTGGTAAATCATTTTGATCGGTCCAAGCCGAACATTTCCCATTTTGTATTTCATTAATCATCTTGTCAATTTTATCATTACCGTGGTCGCCACAAGCCAATTCAATTACTAAAAAAAGACGTATTGTTTTTAAAGTTAAACGTTATGTTTTTTTTTTTTAATTGGTTAATTTTCTTCGTACCGAAATCGGCCGGGTTATGATAAATTGGGCAAGGCAATTCTAATTTGGATAAATAAGGCACTACGTTGCCGGTAGAACCTTGGTACAAGCATTGGCCTCTGGACAGGATGTAGACTTGATCGAACATTTGAAATAACGTTGCGCTCGGTTGATGGATCGTGCAAATTATTGTTCTACCTTGATGAGCTAGAAGACGCAACAGCGATATGCATTGTGAGCAGGAAGAACTATCCAAACCACTGTGGAAACAAAAAAAAAATCAATAATATTATTACATAATATAGTATAGATATTTGTAATAAAAAAAATATCAAAAAATACACTGTGGGGTGTACAATAAATTAGACGAATTTAACGGTTTATTAACATTTAAATGGATTGATCAGAGATCATTAATTGTTATTGCTGTGTAAATAGGATGCGTTAAGGTATATGTCTTAACGATGCAATTGAACGTTTAAACTACATAAAGTAGCGGTAATATTTTATTTAATAAAGGCTAAATAAAAAAAAACTACATAATGTCATTGATTCGTACGTGGTTGGTTCGTCGAGGAACATAATCATGGGATTGTTAATTAGTTCTAGAGCTATTGACAGTCTTTTCTTTTGCCCTCCTGACAGTCTTGCAGTTCTGGTGAATTTGCACTGTTCAAGGCCCAGAGTCGATAGAATCTCATTTATCTGAATATAATATACAGCTCTGTATTAAATATTTTACACGTTATACGTATGCCTAACATCGATAGAACACGGACAAACAACTGCTTACCACTGCTTCTTTATATTTAGGAGTCTTGTCCGCGGTTAGTTTGAGATTTGCTGCGATTTGCATATTTTCGCCGACGGTCAGCAATGGTTGTAAACGATCATCTTGTTGGATATAACAAGACACCCTTCGAAATTGATCCAATTGTCTTTCAGCTTTGTTCACTGTTATTTTTCCTCGGACACCTTTTAAACTTCATAACATAATAACGCTACGTGTAGTCCATACACTTTTGTTTCATATTATAATATAACGGATTATTAAATTTTCATTTATTTACTTGTAGCCTGAAATTACATCTAGCAGAGACGATTTCCCTGCTCCGGAGGGCCCCATAATTGCCACCAGCTGACTTGGGGCGAAATGGCCGCTGATATTTTTGAGAACATCTTTGGTACCTTTTAGAAAAAAAACAATAATCAATACAACTCGCACAACTTTACTAAGCAAACAAATTATAATTAGCTGTTGGGTGATATTTTATTTAGTACAGTATGTCAATTTAATTTGAGCGTTTGAAGGATGTCATTTGAGGAAAAGAATCTAGAAAAATACCAGTGCGGTTTTCGGAAAGGGAGATCAACGATAGAGCAGTTATCAGTAAATGGCCAAATAATAGAGAAAAAGTACGAATACCGGCAAAATATTTGGCAGTTATCTATTTAATGACTTCAAGAAAGCTGATGACAGTGTGCAGCGAGAGAGTCTGTACAATATATTGAATGAATTTGGGATCCCAAAGAAGTTGATAGGTCTAACCAAAATGTGTATGGAGAATACCCAATATCAATGCCGGAAGCATTTAAAGTAAAGACAGGTCTGAAACAGGGAGATGCGCTGAAAAAGTTAATGAGTTCAGTATTTAGGAGCAATGCCGAGTGCCAAGAATGATTGGTCAAGAGAGATTGGAATAAGAATAACCAAGGCAGAAAGAGCAGCATTCGCACTAAGTAAGTTTCTGAAATCAAAATGCTTTTCAAAAAAAACAAAGGCAAGGTTGTATACGGCGATAATAAGACCCACGTTAACCTATGAACGGGAAACCTGGACGACCACTAGCAATACAAAAAGAAGACTAAGAACGTGTGAGAATAAAATATGGAGGACAAATTGCGGTCCTATTTATGATAACAGAACAGGTGCGTGGAGTAGAAAATCGGGAACTTCAAGAATAGTTGGAGCTGGCACTAATCAGTATCATTATAAGTGGCCAGCGAATACAATGACTTGGCCTAGTGGCGTATTTACGGGGGGAGGGGGGGGTTATACCCCCCGGGCCCGGGAGGTTATTTGAAACATAATTTTAAATATAACAGGCAGCCCTGATGAAGTACTCAATATGTATTCACTGGCCTCAAGAAAATTAGACTTTTTTCTGTAGTTAAGTATCCAAATTGTTGTTTACATGCAACATGTATGTAATAATATGTATATATGTTTATATCGAATAGGTATGGCTATTAAAATCTGTATATCCCCCCCCCCCCGTGGAAAAATCCTAGATACGCTACTGGCTTGGCCACGTAATGCGCAGAAATGAGGAAGAGACAGTTAGAGCGGTGCTGGAATGGAAACCTACGGGGAAGAGACCTCGCGGGTGGCCTAGAAAGAGATGGATCGATACAGTGGAAGGATGTCTCGAGAAAAAAGGAGTACGAGAGTGGAGAACGATAGATCATAACAGGGAAGAGTGGAGGCAGATCGTGATGGCGGTGAAAATTCTTCAAGAGTAATAACTGCAAGCAGAAGAAAGAAAAGATATCAGTTTAATAAAACAAGAACAGTAAATAATAGCTTTATTCTTAGCTGAGGAAGTATGATTTTTTACAATGATGTGTTTTATTATATTTTTTTCGACGTGTGTCTGCTCAAACGATATGTCTAGAATAATATTGGACCGAATACTAGATAAACACATTACAATCTATTAGGATTTTTTGCAACAAAGCGTTTTATATTCAGATTTAATATCCCCTTTGACCCCACTTTATTAAATTCTTACTGGCCTGGTTTAAACTGTGAACTGGTTGGTTTTGTGTTGGCTCGACAGCTTATTGTAGTCCATATTTTTATGTATTAAAATTATTTTTTATTGTTACATATTTTTTAGTATCGAAACATATTGCGTTATGAGAAATTGTCGATAATATATTTTACAGGTATACCTATATCAATATTACGAATTCTATTAAATATATTAGCATTGCTAATAAACTGGTGATCAATATATTTTATTTAAAAAACGTGATTTTTTAAAAATACATTTTTTTTTTAAATGTAGTTTTATTTATAAAATATTTAGCTTGACGATAATAACAGCAATAAACATACAAAACTGGAATAATTCTAAAAACAAAATTAAACCTCAAATAAAGCGTACTTATTTTCATAAATCATATTTCATAATAAATACTAACTTAATATTATACTAATTTTCATATGTTAACGAAACGTATGATTTTTTGCAAGGTAAATGAACTTCTAAATTTTTAATATAATTAAGTAAAATTTCTGTATTGAAAAATTGTACAACCCAAACAAGTTTTAAACTCGCAAAATATAGTGCGTCACACTTTAAACAGGTTTAAGAGTTTTTGAGTAGACAATTTATGCAAAAATAACTGTTATTTTATGCTTTCGTGTAAAAGCAACTAAATTGTATATGGTATTATTAAGTTAAAAAAATTAAGTGTTATTATATGTTGCGTATTGTCACCGAACATCTCACATAGAAATGCCTAGAACTAAAATTTGCAACTCATTTAAACTGTGAAACAATATGCTGTTTATTTGGAAACTATTAGTTATTCTCCCTTAACAAATGCCAAATCAGCCCTAGAAACATATATAATAATAAATGGACCGGTACCACCTGCATCAGCCGGGTTGAAATACTTGTACTTCGATCGAGTTGGGTAGATTTTTTTATCTCTTTTAAACACCCTAGGTCGGGTAGATCAATTTTTTTGATTTTTATATTTTCATTCAAATTGATGTAATGTTATTTATTTGACATTGTGCTTTGAAAATGTTACCAAATGCTAAATTGTAAACTTTTTACTGCTAGCCTTGTTAAATAATTTGTAAAAAAATTCATTTTTGATCATTTAAAATACAGTTTTGACTATGATAACATTTTTTTTATATCATAATATTGTAACTATCAAAATGGAAAGCTCGTCTTTACGTTACAACACATAAAATATAGAAGTTTCAAAATATATGATATTTTATTATAAAAAAAGTACTACTGATTATAATTGGTCATTTGTTTCCCTGTAATAATTATTCGCTTATGACTAGCTTAGATTAAATCTACTAACGCCTTAGAAAAACGTGATAAGGCAACTTGAAGGTTATTTTTATATTATTTTCACTATTGACTTTATACAATATAATTATATTTATACAATGAATTCACTTGTGCCTAATACACAGCTATGGTTTGCTGACACGTTTACATTGGACCATTCTATCCAAGAAATGAATACATATACCTTTATAACCTAACACGTACAATTATGATTCATGTAGAATTTGAAACTCAAATGAATTTTCCTGTTACTTAGCTAAATTTAAATGATAACATTTTATAATGAATTAGTACGTGGTGTATAATTCAATTTGTTATCGACGCTAATTAACAGATGACGTGCAACCTTTATTTTGTGATTAAAAAAATCCACGAAATTATAATATGCTAAATATAACCAGGAAACAACAAACGAGATTATTAAGAATTTTTTTTTTGTGTAACATATAACCAATTGAAGCATAGTGATGAATTTTCCATCCATTCGCGTATTGAGTTTTAACCCGAACATAGCAAAAAAAACAGAACCTTTTAACTTTACATAGTAGCTGCATAGACATAATAGAATATCTATTATGGCCACGAGTAGCTGCTATTAAATAAATAAAACCAAATATTATATAACTAATAAGGTAGCAATTAAATTGATTGTATGTAATGTTATTTTTTTAATAGCTATCATATTTATGATAATTTAATTGAAATGTAAAACGCAACAAATAAAAAATAAATAATAAGCATGATAATAATTGGTTTTTTTATTCGATTTAAGTATAATTTTTAACTTATTTTTTATTAATAAATATTAATAAATTAACTAACCTTTATTGAATCCAAGCGACACAGTATAGTAGAGGTTATCGAATTTTAATTCGACTTGATCTTGGTTTCGGTCTTTAATGAACAGCCCTTTTGGCTGGCCCACGCCGTTTGTATTGTCTTTTGGCTCCATAGACTCGAGGCTATAACACAAACATAACGTTCATCATTGCGCTACACCTATGATCGACTATAATATTTTCTACAAATCGTCTTATAGGATTTTCATTCGTTTTTCTTAAATTATTTATCATTTAAAATAAAAAAATATTTTATATTTTTAAAGTAAAAAATACGTTTATAACTGCATCCCGAAGGTCGTCAAGGTAGAAGCAACTACACACATGTGCAAAAGATATGGTTATAAAGTACACTGAAATTGAACTCCCCTCTTGGATAACAGCACTGACAATAGAGCCAGCTGTTTACATGGTAAAAGGGTGAACGTGAACGTGAGATTCCTTTACCTAATCTACCTAACAAAAAACATTAAGACGTCGTGATTGTACTGATCCGGATTTTAAAACATTAACCTGAACCGAATGAGGACAGATAATCGGTCGTCGGTGTACATCTTTTAAATAACACATACTAAATGGTTATGTTGTTAAGTCACTACTATAGTATAATAATAACATAAATCACTAATCGGTAATTAGTTAACAATAATTCTTTATAAATTTAATTTTCATATTATCTTCTAATGAAGGACGGAATTCCCATTAAAAAAACACAACACAATGATGACAACAATATAATTGTAAAAACTTAACTTGATTAATTAAAACATAATACAATAATAATTGTATTTAGTAAGTAGTACGAATTTTAATTCTAATTCAATATTTAAATACTTTAGTGTTTTGTATAAATATATTACCAAATACTACGAAACAAACATTGACTGAGCGAAATAATTAGTTTTGAGCAATTATTTTGCACTGTATTCAGTATTAGTATAATGAAGTATATGCTGAAAGTGCGGCTGTTTAGTGCTTGCAATAATAGTTTTGCGTCAAAAATAATTGCCAAAAATTGTTCGAAATCAACTAACCACTATATTTTAAACAGAGATTTTTTTTTTCATTAGTTTTTTCAAAATATGTAGTTTGAATTCCAGAAGTTGATAAGGATAGAAAAATACTTTAAAAAAAACAGCACAGTGGAGTTAAGGAATAGTGTGGACTGAGTACATTGGGAACGGGAGGCCACGTCTTCGAAAATTGTTATAACTAAAAGTGATAAAATCGTGATTCAAATTAACGCTTCCCTGGTTAACTGTAAATGATAAAGTATTAAGTATAATACTTTTGATATTATACTTATGGGGTGGTTTTCTCAATAAAAAAAAGTTTTAATTACAGATCTTTGAGAAAATTGTACATGTTATATACCAACTATAGATCCATTTTTGGTATTGTTAAGTGCCAGGAACACTTTCTGATCTATCGACTTACTAAATAAAGCAATCGGTTCAGTGGTTAAGTTATTGTGGGCCCCAACACAATAATATAAACATAAAAAGACAACATTGTTAATACATTACATATATTTGTAAACAATACTTGCTCAGCATCGAAGCTAAAATTAATCAATTTGGAAGTATGAAAAATGTTGTAAAAAATGTAACAAACATTTTAAAACATAAAAAAATATGAAATATTAATTATTTTTAAAGGGATTTAGCGTCTTATTCTTAATGAATCCCCTTGTATACCCGATTGGTCTAAATTGTAATAACGCTATTAATTGATATAAGGTTAGTGGTTACCTAAGTCGTTAAGTTGTTTTATTGTCAAATACATGGCACGAAGCTTTGTATTTTTTTTTATTTATTTAAAAATTCTTTGGGTTAAGTATTTAATTAAAACAATATATCGTTGGAAAAAAAATGAAGCTATTGTCATTAAATATTTTAATTTTTGTTGGCGGCTTTTATTTGAATTTCACACAATAGTTTTGATAAATACTATCACTGCATGAGTCTTATGAGTAGTAGAACGATAAAATATTGTACAATATATGTTATGCATTTTTGCGTACATGGGTCAAGGTCGTGAGAGCATCATGAGAATTTAAGTAATAATAATAATAATAATGGCTACATATTATGTTGATGACGTATAATACACATCATTGTAGACATAATTTGTGTTTACAATATCTGAGTAGTGTTTAACCACAGCTCGAGGCAATCGTCTTATAGACTATCCCACAGTTTGTTGTAAGCTAACAACCGATTGACAATGAAATGAACAAAAGAATTCTATATTTACAGTTAGTGATCTATATAATAAAATCTTATGCAATTTTTTTGTCTCATCGTGACTACGACCAAATTGCCTATTGTCTTATGATGTGATGTTTATCATTAGTTGGACGACCAAAATTTGTATATTTTGTCGAATTGTGCTGTAAGATGTTAAATCGTTATTATGTACACAGAAACCGTATAAAAATTAATCTGTCAGAAACCAATAACTGTATAAAGTCAATTAGGTACTTTTTTATTCTTCCGAATGGATAATGGTTTATGGCTATTGAAGTGTTGTCAAACTGTCAGTAAGTGTGACTCTATGATAATCTTGCTGACTTCATTTATACTTAAAACACATACCTACCCAATGTATTATTTACGTGACTTTTGGCTTCATGTGTCACCTTATGTTACCAGTTTTTTAGCACCCGTTTTTTCTTATCGCGACAAATACTTCGTTTTGTCTAAAGTATTTTTCACGTATCGATAATCAAGAATGATACATTTTACATTTTACATAGCTCAAACAACTCTGTATACTCCGTTGACTATAATATTGTTTACAAATTGATAGATGTATTTATCAATAATCATCATATTATTATACCTGTAGGACGTGGGTACAGCATTATGATTATTCCATTAGGTTATCTCGAAATATAAGATTTAAATTGATAAAAAAATGTTATATTGTACTTAATACTGGTAAAAATACTATATCAAGGATGTTAAAAAAAAAATACCCGAATGATGCATATTATTTTTTTGTTATAATTTATAATTGTAGTACTAGTTTTTTTATATGTATTTTAAGTGGAATCAATGACCATGAATGTTGAACTATACGAATCGCTTAAATTCACAATTAATTAAGTAGGTATATCTGTCTATTTTATATACTCTAATTTAGGTATACTTAATATACATATTATTAAGTAGGTATTCATTAGGTATTTGCAATATTTATCTATACTGTCTGAATAACTATTAGGTCGACTTGAATGCCACTTGTCTATTGGAAAATCGTTACTTATTTCTTAAGTTTATTTAAATTGACCAGAAGAGCTTTAGCAAGAACATTATTACAAAATAATCCCAGAATCCTCCTCCCCATCTTCTTAAGGGGTTCTTGTGCATCAAAGTCTTTTAAGCACCTCCACAAATTCAGTAACTAAATAATCTTACATTAGGTACACTTTGGACCACCCAAAAAATAAAAATTCTAAATTATGAAATAATCTTAGAACAGATTTTAAAAAAATATTAACAGATTATAATTATCGACCGTATTATCTAACCTAATTAGCTACGTAGGTAATGATAATATTATCATACATAAAAGAAACCGTATATAAGTGGTTAAATTATTGACATATTTTTTTTAGTTTTACAAAATCCTTTTTTACCTACCTTACCGGTGGTGTAAATAGAAAACCTTGGTCATTGGAAATAATAAGTTAAAATAAACGTAATTTAAAAAAAATATAAAAATATCCTGACAACTACAAAAAAAAAATAATAAAGGTGCTCCCGTTTGCAATTAAGCTGTTATCTCAAATTTTCATGGAATTAATATCTATTATCTATGCAACTTATGGCATTCGAACATTTGGTTATGCATTTGGTCATTAGAAAAATATAAAAAACGCGTTCCTTTTACTACTTTCCTAGAAATTCACCTTGAAGATTGGAGGTATATATATATATATTTGAATATTAATTAATGGGTAGCATGTTATACTATAGGTATTCTGTAATATTGAAAAATTAAAACCTTCAATTCACATAATAATTTAACCGTATTAATATTATGCTGAATCTGGTGTCAATACGAATTCAAAGAAAATTATATTATCATTTCGTTTTGTGCGCCTGCATTAAATTTTTACACAAAAAAGCTAAACACTAAACATCTTACCAAACGATAATATTAATCGGAAATGGCTTTCAGTTTTAAATTGAGTTTATATATAATGTGTTGCTCAATACAATTTTATAATACTTTTTGGATTGTCTAGTATTAGTTGTAAAGTACTATGTACTCGAATTGGTATGATAAACTGATACCAAAAGTCCATAAGATAGTATAGCGAATACGGAAAAAATAACATTAAAGTGTTGTTAGTATACTATCGTGTATTTTAATAACTATACAAAATTCACTGATGTGTACAAAACATTTTTAAAAAAACAGTCAACAATACCTATGTATAGTAGAAACGTCAATTACTTTATTATTCGAAAAATAATATACATTTAGATTGTTCGAGTAATGCACGCGTAAGCTAAATAAAAACAATTTATTACTTTATTTTTTCATTTTTATTTTTAATAATAATTATTTTTCTCAGTTTACGTAGTATGATAATTAAAAAAGAAAGGTTTGAAAAGTTTTTTTGTTTTTTTTAAACGGGTATTAAATAAGCAATTCACAACGCGCAACGAAAAAAAGGTCACTTGTAAATATGACGTCGTGCAATATCTTAACTTTATGTAGTTGCCAATTAATTATCGGTTATTATTTTTTTTTTTCCACCCTTTTTTAGGAAAAGTTTCGGTTAGTTTTTCGCGAAAAAAAATAATAACAAACTAAATTAAAGTTTTTTAAAACATTTTTTTTTTGTATTTAATGGACCGGTAATAAAAACTTATTTATGTTAATGAGTTTCGAAATATTGTCTACCGGAGCGGCTGGTATGTTACCGTATCGATAAAACGCAGGCTTGGATTCTAAAGGTTTTGATTTGTTTGTAAAATTCACTTTTTTCGTTCTTAATAGACTATGAATTTTACCGCGCTTTTTTCTGAGTAGATGTGTATCTACTAAAATATAATGAGATATTGTTTAAGATTTGAGTGTTTTTTATGAGGACTAAGGTCAATTTA